GCTCCCCCCAGCCCGGCTGCTGCCAGCCCAGCTGCTGCCAGTCCAGCTGCTGCCAGCCCAGCTGCTCCCAGTCCAGCTGCTGCCAGCCCAGCTGTTGTCAGCCCAGCTGCTCCCAGTCCAGCTGTTGCCAGCCCAGCTGCTGCCAGCCAAGCTGCTGTGGAACTGGCAGTGGCCTGGAGGGTGGCAGTGGAGGCGTGAGCTGCCGAGTTAGATGGTGCCGCCCAGACTGCCGCGTGGAGGGCACCTGTCTGCCCCCCTGCTGCGTGGTGAGCTCCACACCCCCAACCTGCTGCCAGCTGCACCATGCCCAGGCCTCCTGCTGCCGCCCATCCTACTGTGGACAGTCCTGCTGCCGCCCAGCCTGCTGCTGCTACTGCTGCCAGCCTCCTGCTGCCGCCCATCCTACTGTGGACAGTCCTGCTGCCGCCCAGCCTGCTGCTGCTACTGCTGCCAGCCCAGCTGCTCTGAGCCCACCTGCTAAGAGGCCAGTTGCTGAGCAGCGAAGAATGAACTAGAAAGCAGTGCAGAATTGCATGGATCTTTAAGGGAATGCTCTGTGGGTGGACGCTAAGTATCTTCATGTTGCTAACCTGCTCATCAATAGTGGAACTATTCTTCAGGACCCATACAGATGTGCTGAAGTTGGTGCACTGAAAACATATCTCAACCAGCATGTTCAAAGGACTCTGCTCTTCTTAGTCAGTGCACAGGGATGGGGCGGTACTTCATTCCAATGACATGGGGACTTCCTTCCCTAGTTCTTGGTCCCTGAACATCTTCAGTCATGCTGTCTACTTGAATAGTCCCTGGTGCTCTCAAATAAAGTATTTTGTGCACAAGGGGATAGATTTCTGTCCACCTTCTAATTTTAAGCTGCCCACTTACAAACATAATCTAAAACGAAATTGTTGTCTGAAAATTAACTTATGTTTGAATCATCTGCTAATAAAAATGTTCTGTGCATTAAATAATCTTCATGGCTATTTCAGTATGTGGATGTTTTATTAAAAATAGATCCAGACAAATAGAATTACCCTGGATGGACTTTTTCTATCAGCTCTGATTTTGTCCCTTTTAGTACAGTAGATGTTTTTCTTCATCTGTGCACAAAATAAAGAAACTGGATTGTCTACTAAATAGATTGGAAAACATCTACCAATACTACTACCAAGTTGGGTTTAATTCCTACACCTTGGCCTATCTCCTTCCCACTGGTCCCCAGCTGTGTAAGCTTCAACTCTGAACATTCACCTGCACCTACCGAGCATATGAGGGGTCCATGTGTGCTAGATGAGAGTAGAGCAGACAGCTTTGGGGTATATCTGCTGAGTTCCAGCATCATGTCATACAGAAACATTAGAATTCTCAAACAGACATACCACAGTTTATAATTTACAAGCCAATAGAAAAATGCCTTTCTTGAAAAAATTAGCACAATCCATAACAAAAAGAGACAGATTCTACCATCTAATTTTATTCTGTGTGAGCAGTTGACTATGACACACACACAAAAAAAAAAAAAATACGTAAATCTTAGAAGAGATGAGAAAATTCTCTCTAGGTTATTTCAACTACCCAGCACTTACCTCTCTCATTAAATTGGCAGCAAGGATGGATCACAAACAGGATGGTACATTCCAGAAAATTGAATGGCTGTGCATTTTTTCAAGGTGTTGTAACTCCTAGACATTTTCCCCAAGCTTTTGTTCAACCACTAAATTAAGACAAAAATAACTTGACATCCCTAGTGTCTTCACAGCGAATAAGTCTCCTCCGTGGGCGGTGCCACAACTTGAAAGTGCTATTTACTCATCCTTGAGTGGTTCAGGCATCCATGAATCATACCTTACACTCCACCCCCTCAGTTAATCCCCACTGAATCAGATTCAATAAACATTTAATAAGACTCTACCAAAATCAGGCTAGATACTTTCTGAAAAACCAAGTTGTTTGTTTCACAGTGAAAAACCTCTGGCCTGGAATACAAATAATGTTTACACATTTCCAATCAGCTGAAATGGAAAGAACAATAAAATCGTTTGATATGGTGCTGGATGGAGTTGACATGGTAGATGCTTCTATTACATGTGATCAAATATGCCAAAGTTCTAAACTCAGTGAAATTTTGGTATATGTATCCAGGAGGGAAAAATAATACTTGAAAGGAGCAAATTGTCCACTGCTTTAGAGGTCTGCCTAGATGGCCAAGTGGAATGAAAATTATTCAGAATAAGGGTGTTGCCTTAACCTAAAGTGAGAAGGTTCTTTGAACATGGAAACCACAAACACTGCCCTAAGAGTATATGGCCAAGAGCGAGTCACAGCGACCTTATAAAACAAAGTCATTCCCATAATACATCACAAGTATTTCAATGGAAGCTAATCAGAGGACCACTAAGAAACAATTTTAAAGAAAAACAAGAAAAATATGTTAAGAATTTTATAAACAGTAGCTTGCTTGACTATATAAAGGGCCCCATGTTCAGGTCAGCTCTCAAACTCAGAAACTCATCTCAGCTACTCAACACCCAACCAACTCCTAGCACCATGGCCTGCTGCGCTACTAGCTTCTGTGGCTTTCCCACCTGCTCCACTGGTGGCATCTGTGGCTCCAGCTGTTGCCAGCCCAGCTGCTGTGAGGGTGGCTATGGCTATGGCATCGGGGGTGGCATTGGCTATGGCATCGGGGGTGGCATTGGCTGTGGCCAGGAGGGTGGCTTTGGAGGCGTGAGCTACCGAATTAGATGGTGCCGCCCAGACTGCCGCGTGGAGGGCACCTGCCTGCCCCCCTGCTGCGTGGTGAGCTCCACACCCCCAACCTGCTGCCAGCTGCACCATGCCCAGGCCTCCTGCTGCCGCCCATCCTACTGTGGACAGTCCTGCTGCCGCCCAGCCTGCTGCTGCTACTGCTGCCAGCC